AGAAGGAAAAGTTATTGATGTGATTGAAAATATTATTTTAATGAAGAATGTGTGGTTGAAAATGAGTAGAAGAATGAAAATGAAAATTTTAATGTATGTCAAACAGGAACTAAGCTTTATTTAGCCCCTACATTTTAATCTAAGTAAAAATCAACAATTAATTTTAACCACATATTTCATTAGACACACGACTTTTAACTATAATTTACATCAAACGAGGACTTAGTATGAAACACTAGTAGTTGGTTTAACAATACAGAATAATATAATAAAAAATTAAAATTAAAATCCTAAGGTCGGTTTGGTTTGCCTTTTTCAAGTTATTTTTAATTTTCAATTTTGTAACACACTAAAAACTTGTTTAGTCTTGTATTTTTGGAAATACATTTTCAAAAACAAGGTTAAACTTATAAAATAAAACTCAAAATATCTTTGTCATTTTCAGTATTTTCAGTGAAAATGCCAAAAACACTCAAATCACAGGAAATTAGCTTTAAACAAAAAAATTATTAAAACAAGAATTCTAAAAAAAATAAACTTTTAAAAATCTAAAAAAAAAATCTTTAAGAAATCTAATAAAAATCTTATTGACTATTTAAATAAAATATATTCAAAACGAAAATAAATAAAATTCTCAGTCTACGTCATTATTTTAATTTTTTTTATTTCCTATCTTTTTTAACTTAATTAATTATTTGTTTATATTTTACTTTTGTAGCGGAAAAATATATTGTAACATTTATCAACTCTAAAACTATATATTACTAGATAAAATATTAGCATAAAATTATTCTAAAAAATATTGTGAGATTTATCGACTCTAAAATATATATATTACTTGATAATATATTAGCATAAAATTATTCTATTTTATTGAGAATAAATTAAATTAATGGAATAAAATATAGTAAAACAATTTCTCAAATTCTAAACTAACGTGTTTTTCAATTTTTTGTTTTGAAAAACAGTTTTTTAGAATGATAAATCAAACACAATTTCAATAATTTTAAAATAGACACTCAAAATAAAAAATTGAAAATTGAAATACAAACATGTATAGGGATTACATGTTGAGCTCACCGAATCATGATATTCTATGGGCTTATTTGCACAATTAATGATCCCAATGCATTGACTTGTGCAAAAAAATACTTATTGTTTCATTCTTAGCGACGATGTCCCTATTTCAATCTTTGGTTGCGCAGAAGTCCTTGCCATCAAGTACGTGGTTCAATTTCTCCATTAAAGTAGTGCATGCATCGAATATGGGTTATTTCATAAGAGTAGTACTTTCGTTCCCATCACTTTTCTTGGCAATTGGACTTTTGAGTCTGAAAAGAGTATGAGCAAAACCAAGTCATATTTTCCTACCTAATTCACAGCTCTTTGCTGAAACCCTAGTCCATTGGACGAGATTATTTGCTATTTTACTGTCAAAGTTGCAATTATGTTACTTTTTTGAGTTACTTGTTCTATCTATGACTTCTATTTTCCACTCGCTAAAAAATAAGGGTTAAACTACTTTACCAGAATAATAATGTCAGAAGCAGTGTTAGAATTCTAGGTGACGAGAGGTGATTTGATGAAAAAGATAACTGTGTTTTAAAAGGACTAATGATAGAGAACATGACATTATGTAAACTATTATGTCAATTATTCTGTAGCATGGTTGAAAAAATAAAATAAAAGAATGAAACCCCACCTCACCCCTTGCCCATATAGTTACACCATCCTTTGAAAACTTAAGTTTTTTAACCTAAAAATCCAAAAACAGAGAAAGAGAATCTGCTGCAACTATGGCGTAACATTCCCCAGAAGCGACCCTTTTTCTCTTCTCCTTCACTCCATCAATCCGATCCGACCCACTTCCCTCATCTCTCTCCTACCGACCTGAACCCACTTTCAGACAACTGAAATCCACTTACGTTGACACCATTTCACTGTCTGCTGACCGCCCCGTCAGCTTCCATGATCTTCTCGGCATATCCGAAAAAACTGGAACCCAATTGGAGATCAAACGAGCATACAAACAGCTAGCCAGGAAATACCACCCGGACGTGTCGCCTCCTGATAGAGTCCAGGACTATACTGAGAGGTTTATTCGGGTCCAGGAGGCCTATGTAACGCTGTCGGATCCTAGGATGAGGGCCTTGTATGATAGAGACATGGCTAAGGGACTCCACCTTGCATTTTCTGCCCGTGGACGTACGTAACAAACTTGACGAGGTTAGCCCTTTTCTCGCCTATTCTTTTGGTTGCTTTGTAACAATTATATGTGCAAGACATTAGAATTGTGCTCTGATTATTTGTACTAATACAAAAACAGAATACTGGGAAACTCTCGTAAGTTTACCATTGAGAGGATATGAATTTATATGCAAAGTTCACAAGAGATGGGAGCCGAATACAGGCTGTACCTTAACGTCTATGATATACAAGGTAAGTGTATGTAAGACAATTAAGCAACGGAAG